GGTGGCGCCAGGGCAATGAGGTGTTCCCATCAGGCCCTGTCTCTTATACACATCTAGATGTGTATAAGAGACAGGTGGTGGGGAGGTGCTTCGGCTGGCTCGGTTGGGAGGTGGTGGGGAGGTGCTGTGTCTTTACCTCTATTCGGAGATGACTGAAGGTGGCTCTACCGTGCATAGTGCGCTCTTGGGTGCTATGTGGTGGCGCAGTGAGCACTACTTATGCCAAGTGAAAGTGATGCATGTGGGCGCAAATCTGACTGAGCGGGGTTGCGGATGTTGTAAATCCGTAGGAAGTAGTGCCATGGAAGATTTGAAAATTCGTACAGCCAATTTGATAGGCCGCTACCACGAATTGAGAGCCGAGGACTGTTTTGGACAAAACTGTGCCAAAAGGTGGCGAACTACTACGCTATTGGAACCAACGCCATGTGAAAACTCAGCGGCCCATCGCGAAATAGCTGTATCAAAGGAGTAAATGCAAGAGGTAATCAATACTACAATAGTTATTAAATTGGCCCTCAATGAAGTTAAATACCAATGGTGGTGAAATTTATGGTGGAGCAATGTGCACTGAAATGAATGGTGTTGAATGTGCACTGTTTAAGAGCTGTGGGCTGTGAACTCCCCCGAGTTTCAGTGGAAAACAACATTGGGCTTGATCTGCTGGACTCAACCCCCTTCATCCCAAGGACAGAACCATGGATCGGAAAAGCACAGAAGTGGGAGGGGAATGGGAAGGGGAAACGGCCGATGAGTGGCAGGCGAGGGAAAGAAGCAATTGTAGAAGGGAAGTGTTGCGCAGGGAATCTATGTGCTGATGTATTGCATCACTCTCATGGTGGATGACACTCGAGCACTCGGAAACTGGATGCGTCGTTAGTTCTATATCCTTTGTCAGTATTGGCTTTTGGTGATGCTTTTAGTGATGCTCTAAATCTTGCATGTCACTACCGTTTGTGGATTCAGGTATCATTGGGCTCAGCGAAGGTGCAGGCCGGATATTATCCAGCTTCGCGGGCAAGGAAGAATGCTCTACTTCAGTTATGTCCTTCTTGGATGTCGATCCGTTTAGATGCCGTTGCGTCGTGCATTCGGTTGGAGCTAGGAGTCTGAGCAGTGCCTTCCTGAAAAGGAAAGGAACCAGGGATGTGTGTTGGATACCTTGTTCTGGCGGTGGAGACCAGATCTGTGGCGATGGCATGGACGTGCTGAGGGGGCTTGGGTGGGAATTTTTAAAAAGCCCCAGAAGGCCGGCTGCTAAGAGCCATGCAAGCATGTTGCGCATGTTGGATGTTATTGGGGGGCGCCGCAGTCTGGCAACCTTGGCTTCTGCTAGTGCAGTAGAACTCGTGGAAGCTGATGGGACGAGACATGACTCCCACACCTTCGTGTGCAGGGATGCTGATGACGGAGATCACCATGCTGTCAGTGGTGGTGGCGTCTTCCAGTTTCAGGACAAAGAAATGGGAGAGAGGAGGCAGAGGGACATGAAAAGGAAGCGAATAACGACATCAGATGCACTGCGCGCCTGTGGAGGTGACAACCAACAGTTTGCTGAAGTGTTGAAACGTGATGTCGGGGATGGTGACATCAAGAAGCTTCTGAGTCTTTTGACTCTCCTAAAGATTAGAGGTGACTGGGAGATTGGATTACGGGTAAAGGAACAAATCAAACATTTACAGAATCAGCTCTTTTGTGTTTTCTGGACTTCCCTTGGCCCATCCTCTTCTCTCAGTACCTTTTTTGCTTTGTGGGAGAATGCGGGGACAACTGCTGATGCTATTCTAGTGAGGGCAAGGTTCAATCTTCACACTTGTCCACATGCATCTTATGAAAAACGCCTGGCTGTTATGGATGCTTTGCGTCTGCCTTCGTTGCTTGTGTGCTTTGTGGATGTTGCCAGCATGCAGCTGGCAGCAAGGCATCAGGCCTTCTTTGTCGTACCAGTCTTTATTGAACTTGGAGTACAATTCAAGATTCAGGTTGAATCCGTACAGAGCCTGACACCTACTGGACGAGAATGTTGGAGAGATCCAAACGTCTGGGTTTGTCTGGTGCATCCTCACAATGCCCAGACAGTCCCCGTGGAACCTTGTCTGGATGTCCTCATGTGCGCGGGTTGTGAAAATCCCTTTCTTTGTCAAGGTCACTGTCGTACAGGATGAAGTATTAGGAACACAGTGAGAACAGGAAAGGTTGTCAATAAAGTGAGCGTCAATTGTCATGCAGCTGATGAAACATCGTGATGCCCATGGTATAATGTGAACATATTAACAGATCATAGAGAACCACTCTCTGAAGTGAAGGCTTTGTTATGGGGTGCCTGCACGGCGAGGTCTTGGCCATGAGAGTTGGGTGTCACACTGTCTATGTGTGTTGTCAAGCTTTCTTGTGTGTGCTGTCCGGGCAAAAGTTACGTCTGTGGTGCGATGAGGAAAAATGTAAAGGAAAAGAAAAACAAAAAAAAGGAGGGGGCATTTGGCGGCACTTTTGTTGGGGGTCAATTCACACTGGTATCAATGTTAAAGTAATAGAAGGGGGAAAGGAGAGGGCACTGGGCTTTGTTTTCGTTGGAGGAGGTCAATTCACACTGTGGCATCTGACGGCATAGGAGACACATAAGGGGGGTGTGGCGTCATATTTTGTCTTTTTTTTGTTGTTTTGGTCGGTGCAGGTACTGTGGACACTCAGGTGCAGGGGTCAACGTTTATTCTTTTTTTCCTTTTTCTTTTTTTGCAGGACTTTTTGCTGAGTCCAGACAGCAGGGCAGGGGGCGCCATTTGTTTTTCCTATTTTGTTACTTGCAATGCAAGGTGGACCGGCAGTGCTTGCTGTTGCTCAGAGCAGGCAGCACTGCAGGATACACAAGGGCAGGGGTCGGCAGGGGCCAGCATCTAGTTTTTTTTCTTTCACGAATGCAGACTGTGACAACCTTCCATTTCCTCCTTTTTCACCTGTCAATGACAGTTTTGTAGGTGATAGCCTCTTGTGAAGAGCTGCTGCGTGTGCTTGTCTGAAGGGTTTTTGGTTGTCACGGGCTTTTATTTGTTTCCTTGGGGGCTTTCTCGACCATGGAGGGTGGTGTGAGCTGGTAGTCTGTGGAGTCACGTATGAACAGAGTCTGTGTAGTTGGGTGTGGAGCGCTTAGTCTGGTCAATTTTCTTTGTGGGGACCGCTGGAGGTAGTGCCACAGAGACATGTCTTAGAGGATTTGTTAGCTGGAGTGAACCTCTCTGCCCCTGGGGGGTGGTGGGTTTTGATCGCTTTTCCACTTGCTAAGGCAGGAGAAAGTACCAGGATTATTGCTCGTGGTAACTGGTTCAGTGTCACGTGAAGGCATGAGTGCTGAATTACTGATTGCTGCGTTGTACAGTTACTGCCTCCCCCAAGGGAACAAATGAAGCCCAATGTTGCTGCAGATGGAGCTAGGACGTAAACGGGAGGGAGACGGGCGCTGTAGATGGAGGTAGGACGTTAAGGGAGGGAGGCAGGCACTATAGCCAGAGGTTGCTTGGAAAGCGAGTGGATGAGGTGGCATGCTACGTGAGTGACATGCTATGCGAGGGGGACTGAGTTTGGGAAGGAGTCTTGACTTACGTTGGGATCAGCGAGGTCATAGGCACCAAACTGTTTTGGTCTGTCCAAGCTGTATTTGGGTTGTGCTTATCGGGTAGCGTTAACCCTAGAAGTGCTTCTGGTACTAGACGAACTGCTGGTGCTAACCCTGGAAGCACTGCTTGTAGTAACCTTGACTTACTGGTGGTGCTAACCGTAGTAGTACTGCTACTATCCTTGACGTAATGGTGGTGCGAGATAGTAGAAGCACTTCTGTGGGTGACAGTGACTTACTCTAGAATACTAGTAGTGGTGGTGCTAACCCTAGAATACTAACCCGAAAAGTACTCCTGGTACCGCTCTTGACTCACTCGTGGTGCTAACCTGAGTGCTTCTGATGCGGCATTGGGTCTTTTCAGCTTAGTGGATGGCTCTTTTTTGGAGAGGAGGTGTGGTTATTGTGTTGGGAAGTGAAAATTGGGGAGACGTCGAGTGTTGGAGGAATTTGAGTGAGGGTGATGATGGTTGGGAGTTGATTCAACGATTATCATTGTGCTTTGATACTTCATAGTGTGTTGGTACTTCATAGTCCTGTTCCTGGATCATTTCATTTTATTTTATTTTTTAAGGGAAAGTTGCAGTTTATATTAAATCAAGCAATAGGAGGAGGCTGGGAATTCCTTCACATCTCAACTTGGAGGTATCTGGGGCCATTACGCAGGTTAAGCTGAGGCTAGAAACCGGGTCTAGTGTCCCTTGGCGGCAACTTCCAAGCAAAACAAGCAACTTGACAAACAAAAGAGCAAAGAGGGAAAAAGGTAATAAAAACTACCTAGGAGTACTTTGAGCATTACCCAGCTTCGCTTCACAGGCCTAATGCCGGCATGATATCGGTCTGCATCGACTGATTGGGACCCGAGTTCCGAGTAATCAGTGACACTCTACCACCCACCTCCTACAATTTGCCCTCCTGCGGCCTGTCACACCCCGGAACTAGTACCCTGGTCCGTCGTCCTAGTCCCTAACTACCAGCTATGACTGTGCCAGACTACCAAACCTGGGACCCGGTGTACAGCAGCAAGCTCGTTCCTTTGAGCCCATGTGTGAAGGAACCACGGAAGCTGAGGCCGAATACCCTTTCCAGCTTTGGCCGGTCTTTGCCAATCCACCCTGACTTCAATCCTTGCTTAACCAGAGTTTTTATATCCCGATCAGAGAGAGGTCTTCCCTGAAACCTTGCCCAGTTGCGATCCTTCCAGATGATCTCACAAAATAACCCCCTGGCCACATGGGCAAAGTGCCCCAACCTGACTTGCCACTCATACCAACTGGGAGAAATCTTAGCAAGACCCATTTCTCATTCCGCACCATGGATTGATCTGCGAACTCCGTCCAGTGGTCCGCCCACCATTTCCAGATCCTTTTAGAAGCTGGGCACTGCCGCCACAGTGGCGGGCTGATTCAGATGGCCATGAACATTAGAGGACTTCAGTTCCACCTCCATATCCTTTGCCAACAGCCAGACTGCTGATGGTGTTACTAATAAGGAGAGTAACCACAGCATGCTTACTTGTTTACCATTCAGCAGCCAGGTTAAAAATGGCCACAACTTCTCAAATTCTGAATATCCTTTGCCAACAGCCAGACTGATGATGGTGTTACTAATAAGGAGGGTAACCACAGCAGGCGTACTCGTTTACCATTCAGCAGCCAGGTTAAAAATGGCCACAACTTCTCAAATTCTGAACCAGCGTCCGACAGATCTGTGGTCCAAATTGACTGCCATCTGGCAGTGGCCGTTGCAGTTGGAGGCGCAGTTCATACCCACTTGCTACAGTGCAGTTGTAGAGGTGGCGCCAGGGCAATGAGGTGTTCCCATCAGGCCAGCTCCACGCCAAAGGATCAATACTTAGCAGTCTCAACGGGTTACGCCTGTCTCTTATACACATCTAGATGTGTATAAGAGACAGGTTCATACCCACTTGCTACAGTGCAGTTGTAGAGGTGGCGCCAGGGCAATGAGGTGTTCCCATCAGGCCAGCTCCACGCCAAAGGATCAATACTTAGCAGTCTCAACGGGTTACGCCCTATCCAGGTTAGAATCTGCAAGGTCGGCTTCCTCTGTTTACTTTCCACCACTCGGATCTGAGGTGGTGAGTCCCACATCATGATTGTTTCTTCATTTGTATGTGCCAGCGTGTTCGTATGAGGCTCACACTGCCAATGCTCCACCTTTCAGAAACCGCTGGGAACTACCACGTGCAGTCTCCAGATCACATCCAGTTGTTCTTCCAGCACTGATTGGTACCAGTTTCCAGGAGGGTCAAGATCCTCTGGGCCCAAAAATTGTTTTCACCTCTGGGAAATGGAGGGAATTAACAGACGCCAATGCTCCTCCACATTTTTTAGCCCTGCCGACTGGGCTTTCACCTCATCAAAAGGCGGCCAGCTTCCACGTAGTGTGGACCACATAGTCTCACAATAACTCTCCTCACCCAAGCTTGCCCGAAAGACCCTGTGGAACCGTCTGGTACAAAAGTTTGGCCCTTGGTGTTTAGAATATCCGGATTATCAAAGAGTTGCTGCGTCAGAACTTCGTCCTTTGTGACTGGCAGAGTTTGCAGGCTGGGGGCTTCAGCATTCCATGATTTCCTGATGGTGTTCCAAAATACATACTTCGATCTACGTTTTCTGAAGGAGGACATGAATCAGAAGGCCCATAAATCCTTTGGTCTGCTGAGGCCCCATTCCGTCGTATTTTCACGTTTTGCAACTTACTGTAGTTGCGTTGGTGAATGATTGCTACTCTCATTTTTGTCTTTTATGCTCTGGTGCTCATCTGATTTGATGAATGGTTGAACTTTCTGACAATTCTGCTTTAGCCCTCTGTGGACTTTGTCTTGTGCAGAGTGGAAACTTCAACCGTTATCTGTTGCATGAGTGCCTAGCAAACCGGAAGGTGTTAGCATTTTGTGTGCCATTTGTGATCATTTTGTTTAAAGAGATGGATACACACTGCCCGTCCACCTCCGTGCATTCAAAGTGTTGTTTTCATTTTTAGAACCATCGATGAAATGAGATGTTTGATCTGCATCTCCTGCTGGCTGAGCCTGAGTGAGTCGTACACATTTGTACACTGTTGACAAGCACATTGAGAGTCGTGAAAAAAAAAGGAGGAAGGAACTTTGAAAGAGGTGTTTAAAGCACCAGTTCGGTGGATTGAACCGGTATTCACCAGTTCGCAGTAGCCGATGCAGATCCCAGGGCTCGATCCCTAGTCGTCACCTTACCTGTGTACAGTATCTGTGTTGACCCCTAGAGTTGAACCCGTGAACTGTGTATTCGTAACAGTTGGTAGACTGTCGTAGGGTCCKTAGGCAGTAGGGGTTTGATCCGTAGACCTGTCGGGTAGGAGGCCTAGCAGGGTCCAGCAGTCGTAGCTGTAGATGTTCTGAAAGGTCAAGGTCGTAGCTGCTACAGTCCAGAAAGGTCAAGGTCGTAGCTGCTACAGTATTGAAAGGCCAAGTCCACGGCCTCTCGGAAGGTCCTAGCAGTGGCCTTTCGAAGTTGCTCACGTTTAGGCTGAGGGAAGTGGGCAAGTGGTGGAGTCTACCCGTGCTGAGTCAGCAGTCCTAGTCCCAGTCAGTCCTAGTCCAGTCAAGCAAGTACCGCATGGGACTGTGTGCACCACGGGCATGGGCAAGGGCCAGACCAACGAGCTACAGAAGTATAAATCAAAGGGCAGTGCCCAGTCATTCATTCATTCCTGCGTGAGCCATGTGGAAGCGCTGCCACAGCGACTTGTGCGTGGTGGTCTGCAGTGAGCCCGAGGACGAAGTGGGCGAGAGAGAAGAAGCTTAGCCGTAGCATTAGGGTAGCAGCGGCCATAGCCGCCATAGCTGTAGATGGCGTGCAGTGTGTGCGTGTACAGAGTAACGCGTGTGGGATATCCAGGGTGATCCTGTGTGTGCGAACAGAGAGTTGTGTGGGCGCTGTGTCGCCATAGCCATTGAAGTGAACTTGTATCTGAACTGTGTTCTCGGCTACCATATCTCTGAGTTCTGAGTGGGCGTTTGTCGCCAGTTTGCTGCGCACCTGTTTGCATGCATGAAAAGTGTGAAAAATGGCGAGTCTGAATGCAGGATTCTGTTTTGTTGAACCGAAAACTTCGGCTTGCTAAGCCTGCCCAGCCTGAAAGGTCAGATCTGCCAGGTCACAGCAACTCTGAGTGACATATGCATTTCAGCAAATTCACTTTTCTGCGCAAAAGTCGCAAAATTATTTGTTGGGATTGTTACAATATCTTTCCCTGGTACAGCGGAACCTACACGACATCCATGACTTTTTCCGTTTTCATTTTCTGTCAATGGAAATGAGAAACAGAAACGCCCTTGTTGGGGCACTTGAAATCTTGTGCACCTTGGTGTTGCCCCGCCTTCCCCGCCCTTCCCCGGGTCAGGTAGGCTGAACCATTCCATGGCCTCACTGTCCCGGCTTCAAACTTCGGTAAGTCTGGGCCCGAACCGGTGGATTAATAGTGTGTGCTGTCTTTTGTTCTTTCTACTCCTGGTCTGTGCAGGTTTTCGAATGGATCCGTAACCAGAGATGGTACAGACCTGATGTTAGATTCTATTCTCGTATGATGAACTTAATGGGTGACGCTAATCAGACAGAAAAAGCAAGGGAGCTGTTTGATCTGATGAAACAGGAAGGCTTGCAACCAAACATATATATCTACACAGCATTGACCAGAGCCTACGGAAGGATCGGTATGATTTGGAGAGGGATTGCCCTGCTGCAGGAGATGAAGAAGTCAATTTCATGTAAGCCAGATATAGTTGCCTACAATGTTTTGATTGGTGCCTGTCTCAGGGGTTCTTTTTGGGAGTTAGCAGAAGGGCTGTTGCGTGATCTGCGATCCAACGGTCTATCTGCAACAACAATAACCTATAACACGGTGAGAGCTTGCTGCTTCTTCATCGCCCTCTGGTTCTCGTTTGTCTGCCATTTGTCAATGTGATGGCATGGTGTACTGTTGCTGTGAGTGCAGTTGGTGCAGCTTTTGTGTACCAGTTCATTGGGGTGGCCCACCTAATATACACTGGCCCTACCTGATATATGCTGGCCCGACGTAATGTTTGTGCCATGCATTGATCAACTGGAGCTACCTAACTGTCTGTGTTGTTTATTTGCGTATTGGCATGTGCCGTGTATGTGCTGGCCCCAGCGAATTGCATGTGTTAATTTATGCACTGGCCCGGCGTCACGGCACAGACCATTCATGCTCCGCTCTTACTTATGACAGGTGCAGTTTATGTCTTGGCCCTAGCTTACTGCATGTGGCATTATATGCTGACCCTCCCTAATTAATTATAGTTGGGTGCATACCGGCCATGAGTGATAGGCAGGTGATTCACGAGTGAATATGTTTTGGAGAACCCTTAACATTACTGTGTCCATCTGACTCTGTCAGGATTCAAACTCGTTAGCAGTTTGCCAACAGTTCTAGGTGTGTGCATTCTATCGCATGGCCAGTCAATCCCACTGTGTTCGCCTGAACAGAACACATGGGCATTAAAGCTGTGTTTGGGGTAAATTTCAGTCTAGATACCACAATGTCTCTTCGGGTGAGGATGGTAGTCTTCCTGCAGATTACAAATGTGTGTGCGAGAGAGGAAGTGGGTGCGTGTGCGTTTGCTTGTGTGTTCGTGTGTGTACAGAGAGAGACACACACACACACACACACACACACGCACACACACACACACACACACACACACACACACACAGAGAGAGAGAGAGAGAGAGAGAGAGAGAGAGAGAGAGAGAAGCACTCAATGGACAGACAAAACGATGGCAGTAGCACATTTGTCAATTGTTCAATGTGTTGTTCCATCTTCACTCCCGCTCAAACTAGTCTTACTCCTTAGAATTTGCAGGCAACCAATCCCTAGTAATCCTTTTCGGCGAAGCCTGCCCCTCTCTCTCTCTCTCTCTCTCTCTCTCTCTCTCTCTCTCTCTCTCTCTCTCTCTCTCATCTGCAGTATCTGGCCCTCTTAATGGGTGAATGGTGGTGTCCAGACTCTTCCCAGAATATGTAGCCGACGATCTTCAATGTAGCACATGTAGCCTCCCGGAATGCTGAACCACCGTCTATCACCTCTACATCGGTTATGAGCTTTACTTGTTTTGCCCGATAATGCACTCCTCTCTTCTATGTGCTACCAGGTACGATGCCAATCATCACTACTCCTAGAACTTCCGGCAACCCTCGTCAGGGTTGCTCTCCCAGCTGTGGTGGCAGCCCTCTCCAGTGCTCCTGTCCTAGCTATGACAGCAGTGGTTGTCAGAGGAAGTGGAGGTGCTCTTGTCCATGAGTCTCGACAATATTTTTACGGATGGGTTTTGCCCTGGTTTAGAACGAGTCCAGAAAATGTTTTGTTGGGATGCGGTTTGCTGTGGTATTTGTAGTCCTTACTGGGTGAGTCTGTCTGAGTGGTCGATCGAGATGCGTCATCAATGTGTGGCAGAGATTTGGCTGCAACAAGCGAGTCTGGACTCGGAAGTTTCTGGTCAATATGCATGCTTATGGCTTCTGAAAATTCTCTGTGTCTTTAACTCTTTTTATGAAGAAAGATGTAGATTGGGTAAATCTGGCTGGTACTTATCCTGGGAAGGCGCTGTTTGACATTGTAGGCACCATGTCCATTGTGCATGAAACATAGAAGAAACAAAGATACGATCTGACAGATCAAACTCTCTTCGACAGGTAGTTATGAATGGTCTTCTAAGTTCTCACTATGAATGTAGTCTGTACAAGACATCGCATTCTGCCGTAATTGTGATCACATGCATCCAGGAAAGTAGGTGTGTGAGTTAAAAGCATTGGTTGGAGTGAGGAAGCCAACACATGGGCTGACAGATGTGATTCATGGGGCATCTTCTTTTTATCCAACGTGCTGCGGGGATTCACTTGGCATCTTTGTCTTTTTTATCCTGATGGGTTATCTATGCCTTGTGCCTTGCATGCTAGCTTTTCTGTCACTCCTGGGTTGGTGCTTTTCCCAAGACAAAGGGATAAAAACAGCAGTCAAAACAAGTTCAAGTAATAAATTGAAACGGTTGTGAGGTATGTGACGGAGCCCTGTTTGACTTTTTCCTTGCTGTGCAATTGAAAGCAGTTTATTGCTGCATACGGCAAGACGGGGATGTATAAGGAGATGGAGGAGAAGCTGATGGAGATGCAGCGAGCAGGTTGTCGTCCTACTGGTAGCACGTTCACCATATTGATTAATGCCTATGGGAAAGCAGGGCGTCTGGACAAGATGAAAGAGGTGTTTGAATCGATCCATGTCCACAAGTGTGTGGCAAGTGTCTTTGTCTACAGCGCAATGATTGACACATACGGGAAGGCGGGGATGTACAAGGAAATGGAAGAGTTGTGGGCTGAGATGAAGGTGAGTAAGGAGTGAACGTTGCAGTTAAGCTGGAATGGGATGGGGCAAAGCTGCATGCAACACAGTGATCCTCTTTCTTCTTTTCGCTCCCCTCCCTCCCCCGTTCCCTTCCTCCCCTCCAGAGTCCCCACCCTTCGCCGCAGGTTCGTAAAAACTGTTCGGATCTGCGGTACGATACTCTTGTTCTTTTTGTCTAAGCCCCCTCTCCTCGTTTTCTTCATGTTGATGACAACTGTTTGGATCGTCGTTACAATACTCGTTTCCTTCACTGTAACGCCTTTCGAAAAGTGTATCATGGCTCTGTTTCCTCGAGGCAACTTTGCCTACTCTGGTGTTAGACTGTGTTACGATGGTGTAAGGCTGACAGGTACACACCTATGAAGGGTGAGGGATGAGTTGACTATCAAAGTACAATGTGCATGCATGCAATGCTAGGGTCACGAGACACGTCACTTCTGGTATGCTCGCTGGTCAATCCCTCCAAGTCGCTCCAACACAATTTCACCGGTAAGTAATTCTAGCCCCCGTCTTCAGTCAATCTTCGCCAGCGCTAATCAACCTCCTGTTGGTCAACACTCTTTCTTCCTGCTGCCATTGCTTCTCTCCACCTGCCGGCCTGGCGCGGTGGCCTTGCACACTAGGTGTCCATGGAAAGCAACGGATTTCACTCCGATGCTAATTGCAATGATGCCACAAGTCTATGCAACACAACATAACTAGTTTACACCTCATGACACAGAGGTGCACATATTAGGTGCAAACCGGCACGACATGAGAACTCTTTGGAAGTTACTCGAAAATTCAAGTCCTATACATCAAAAGTATCAACATACACAGCCTGCATTGGCTGCTGACGACCCCAAACAGATATCTGTCGTTCCGCCTCTCTCTCTCTACACTCAGGCCTCACACTCTCGCTCCCACTCTCTGTGAATGTTTTGCTCTCTTCTTGATTACTCTGTCTCCCTGCCTTTGCCTCTCTGCCTCTTTTGACACTTGGTAGCACAAGACTGCAACAGGGCTTCCGCATCAAGCTTCAGTTTCAAAATTCTGTTGATGCTTTGCTGCCAAACTGTTGTGCTTTCTGTAGTCCCCAACCTTGGACTTTTCGGCCCGGTACCCTCTCTTGCCGGCCCCAGTTGACTCATCCGGAGTTTTCATAGACTTTCTTCAGACTGAGCTGCAACTGGACTGGCATATTTACAGACGGCAGACCAGTAACGAACTGGACCTACCAGGTTACCTAACCTGCCGGACCTGCTGTTGGGATGGGGGCTACAGTATCGGTGTGACTACGGTTGTGGTACTCTGGGACTTAGACGCTGAAATGCATGAAATCCTTTCACTTTAGGGGGACGTACGTCTTGCCTGGGTCAATGTTGGTGTCCAGATTTGTGCAGACACCGGATGCTGGACTGTCCGGATCTCTATGGGTGAACTGTCTGGCTTGAGCATATGGTTTGATTGGAGACTGCAATGTAGAACGGAGAAGGAAGAAGTAACAGGGAGAGGGATAATTGCATCCCTCAAGAGGACTCGTTTGCATATCCAAGCAGTCGACCTCCGGTTGCCGGTGCACTTCTTCCTTCCCCTTAGAGGATCATATCGCTCTTCAGATCCCTCCTGATGCAGTCATTAGTACCATTGGCGCACTGCAAGCCAACAGGTGTTGATGCATGCTCATCTGAAGATGAGCGGTGCAGATGTCCAAGGAGCACCAGTGTGATGAACAGGACTCTAAACAAAACGAGATAATGCAAAGTAGCGCAGAGGAAGACTCAAAGATTTGATTTGGCACATCAGATCCAGGCTCGACTCACACACGTCACACAGCAAGGAGGGAAATCATACACAGAAGAAAGATCTCTCCTTGCGCACACACATGGGGAGAAACCACCGATGATGAAGGGGGAGGAGCGACGAAGGTGGAGAGGGAAAATAGGACAAGTAGATGGGGAGAAACCACGGATGATGAAAGGGGAGGAGAGACGAAGGTGGAGAGGGAAAATAGGACAAGAGTAGAACTCGTAGTCGTCCAAGAAAGTATCCCCGTCAAATGTCCAACCAATGTCTGTCCTAAAAAATGTCGAATAAGATCCTGGGCTCCACGGCCTGAAATAGTCACTGCCTGAAATCTCTCTTTCTCTCTCTGAAGAGGAAGAAGAAAAGAGGGAGGAGGAGGAGAAGAAGAACAGTGGCTATGGCGGAGTGGAGAAGAATCAGGAGAAGAACGAGAAGAAGAAAAAAAATTATCCTCTCTCGCTGCTGAAGGCCGGTCCTGTAACCGGTATGAAGTCCCAGCTATGGGCCCAGGTAAGTCTCTCTCTCCCTTGTGGACATGGCCTCCGCCAAACGTCCCCACTCCAGCCTACTCCAATCCTCCAGCGTTGCTCTATCGCAGCTCTCCCTAAACTGGCGCTGCTCCAGCAGCGTGATGCCCAAAGGAGGCATCAGCTCGAATGTCCTCGTGGAGGACTCGCCCAGCTATATACCGCTGGGCCTGGCTGAGCAGTCCTCGGTCTGTGGTCAGGACCGTCGGATCTGATGTCCGATCGATGGTCCTGATCGCAGGCCCCTGTCCTGGTCCTATGATCCTGGCCAAAAAACGGCCTGACTGCGTCCCTATCGGACGTCCAGGCAATCCTGCTGATGCAGCAGGGTCCTGAGGACTGGGCCAGGCACAAACAGACAAATGCCTGGTCCAGTCCCACATACGGACAAATCTGAACCTGGCCTACAACGACCGGAACTGAATCACGCAGCAAAAATAATCAATGCTGGCGGCCTGGCCTGGAATATGGCCATGGGCCTCCAGGTTGCTCACCAAAAATGGGTGCGTGTTCTGGGGCCCTGGAACAACCAACAGGCCCCAAAACAGGGCCTGTGTAGCGGCCTCAGCATGCTACAGGTTTGCCACTCAAAGGCTTGAATCAGTGATTGGATGCAAGGGGCATCTTGCACGCCCTACCTAAATATATTGACCTGGGATGCACTTGGCGTCTGAATGTGATCACTGTGTGTGCAGCTCCGGGCTGTTATAGGAAGATTGGAGGGTGGATGACCAAGTGTAGCACAATTTGCTTTTGCAGGAAGGTGTGCTGGATGTAGGAGGCTGGTGGTACCTCTGAGATGTGGACTGTAAATGAAAGTTGGCGCTAGTTCTTCTTTTCCTGCTGGTACCTCTCCATGAAGCTGGTACCTTGGCGTCTGGTATCTACTACATTCTATTAAACCACCAGTACTTCCACACTTTTCTCTGGTGCTGGAAACATGCTGTGCGCCAAAAAAGCCGAACCGGCGCAACTTGCTTTTGGCTGGCAGAATTAGCCATTTTGTTCCCTTTCCTGAGCCCAGAAGTCAAGGCACATTAAAGTGAGAGGCCCACGACCGACGAATCTGCCAAGTACTGGTGTTTTAAAGTTCTTCCGGTGGAGTGCTGCTGATCTGCAAAATTGGTTGTCCGATAAGCAGCCGCTTAGCAGCGTGTTCTCTGGCTTCTATCAATGGTGTCCTGGAAAATGCGACTGCAAAAGTGAATGGACAAGCCATGAAACGACAAAGAACCTGCACAGCCTGGCCGCATCATTCACTGAATACGAAAACGTAAGTGCCAGTAGGAACTGTTAATTTTGTTTGGCCTCTATGACCCTTGCTCCACAGCAGAACTGTCTACATATATGTCCTGTTCTCAGACTGAAAACATTCGGACTGATCCCAGATTTTGAATGTTGTGCAGTTGATCGAGGCCCTATGCCTGCGCCGATCTTTGTTTGAGTTTGAAAACTGGATCCTGTGGGACGGCGGAAAAACTGCAGCCCGCCGAGATCGTGGATTGTGGGCAGTAGACGGGCAGCGGACCGGAGAGGAGGGTAGAACAGAGTGCACTACGGGTTGGGTGGGAACTGAGAGAGTGCGCTAACACACACACACACACACACACACACACACACACACACACACACACACACACAGAGAGAGAGAGAGAGAGAGAGAGAGAGAGAGAGAGAGAGAGAGATTGTTGACCGAAGCGCTAGGTCGTGCCAGGTGAAAGCATGAGACAGTGGAAGTTGCTGGCGGGTGGATGTTCCACTCCAGGGGGCTTCGGAAGAAGTGATGTTCATCTCGAGTTGTGGAAGAAATGATTACACCTATGTATTTCAGCAAGTTGGGGGACGTGTGTGTGCTTCACAACTTGTGGCTAAGCGTTTTTTAGTCGGGAGACAGTAAGTGTATTTGAGTGCAATCATGGCCTCACTTTGATGCGTCTGATTGTAAACATGTCCAGAGCTCAGTCGAAAAAGTCTTTAGTGCGAGGAGTATGTTCTAAGAGGGGGTGAATGTGTCATAATGACTGTCTGATGTATTTGCTTCATTTTCGTCTTTCTTTAAACGTTCTGGTTTTTATAACTAGACAGTATGTGGGAAGGAGGACGAAGGAAGACAACAGATGGCAGAGGAAGGAGGAAGGAGGACATGGAGGAGGAGGGAGGAGGAAGGAGGACATGGAGGAGGAGGGAGGAGGAAGGAGGAAGGAAGAAGCAGGAGGGTGGCTGGAAGAGGGGAGACAAGAAGGGTGGTGGAGGAGGAGAAGGGAGGAGGACAGTGAGGATGAGACCATTATGAAAAACATACTGTGCTCGTGTCCGCGTGGCACGCGACAGGAGAAGAGAGGAGGATGGAGGAGGAGGGGGGAGAAGTAGGAGGAAGGAGGAGTGAGGAGAATGATGATTTGATCGGCACAAGAAAAAAATTGTGTTCCGGTGTCGCATGTGGCACGCAACGGAAGGAAGGGGGAGGGAGGAGGAGGAAGTTTGAGGAAGGAGGGAGGAGAAAGGGGGAAGGAGGAAGGGGGGAGTATGACAAGGGGAAATGAGGAAGGAGGAGGAGGAGGTTGAGGGAGGAGGAAGATGAGGATGAGGGGGAAAACAAATTGCATGATGGTGTGTCATGTGTCACGCTACGGGGGGAGAGTGGAGAGAGGAGAAGGAAAGTGGAGGTAG